TTTGCTATACATATGTTCTTTTGCTAAATTGTAAATATATTTGGTTGAATTTTCATTTTCTAATACCTTTCGACGTAGGGATCGAATTGTTTGATTTATTTTACTTGTGTTGAGAACTACTTATTTTCGTTATTAATTAATCTTGCTATTTTATGAGATATAGTTTTACTTTTAAAACTTTGAGAGATATTTGATGTTTTATTAGATATATAGGAGATGAAGAAGTTGTGTGATTAGTGGAAAATCTAAGTGATTTGAAACATTACTAAAGTAGAAGATGACAAGATCTTCGTTATTTTTCTCTCCAAATGAAAATAAATATGTGTCAATAAGTGAAAGCGAAACGTGTGATTTACGGAGTTATTGTGGATTTACAAAGAGGAGCGAACGTATCTTGTTTTTATGAATGTTCATATTGAAACGTTGGTGACTCTGATTGGTATATTCTTATGTTTGGTTTAATGCAGATAACTGGTAGCCGGATCCCTAAGAAGAACAAAATTGTTCTTCTTGTGGCACAAGTCCAAAGCCTCAGAGAATAAATGACTGCTAGTGAATTTCTTATGGTAGCGCGTAACGATGTTAAATTTGCATTTAAACTCGCAAGAGAGGCAATAGTTTCTCAGATAGCAGAGAAGGGAGAAACTTGTGTCATTTGTCTCGAAGAAATCGATGAAGAACGCATGTTCTTTACAGACAAATGCCTTCACCGTCATTGCTTTTCTTGTGTGAAACAGTATGTGGAAGTGAAGCTTCTTAGCGGAATTGCGCCCACATGCCTTGGTGATGAATGCAAGACAAGCTCACTCTTGAGAGCTGTAGCAAGATTGTGACAACTAGGGTGATTGATATGTGGAAACAAAAGATGAAAGAGGACTTGATTCCCGTTGCAGAGAGAATTTATTGTCCATATCCAAGTTGTTCAATGTTGATGTCCAAAACCGAGCTTCCGAGATCTGCTGATCAAATCAACCAATCCAATGTGCGGGAATGTGTCAAATGCTGTGGACTCTTTTGCATCGATTGCAAAGTACAATCGCATACCGATTTGTCATGCGCTGATTACAAAAAACTTCACCCTCAACCTCTAGTTGATGATATGAAGCTTAAGTCATTGCCAAACGACAATAGGTGGCGTCAATGCGTCAAACGTAGGCACTTGATTGAGCTTTCTCACACTACAAAAAAAAAACAGTTTTAGCGTCGAAATTTAGTGTCGGATTTGCGTCGACGCTAAATTTGCGTCGTTTTTGTGTCGTTAAAAAAATTCGACATTATTTCGACGCAAAATTGAGACGAAAAGTAGAGACGCTAATTCGACACTAAATTGCATCGAATTAGCGTAGATTTAGCGTCTTGATCATCAATTCGACGCTAAATCGACGCTACTTTAGCGTCGTTTTAGCGTCGATTATATAGCGTCGGTTTTAGCGTCGAAAATTTCATCGAACTGGGTAGGTAGATCGCACGTTTTTAATGGGTTCACCTACTTATATAAAACCAACGCTAATTCGACGCTAATACGAAGCAAATTCGACGCAAAATAATTCGATGCTAAAATGCGATGCAAATTCGAAGCAAAATCGTTGCTAAATGTGTAACGCCCGTGAACCGAAAAGGGCGGTTGGCTGGTGGAGTGCACGACACAAGGGGTGATTTCGGTCCGTCGGTTCATTTTGAATTGTTTCGGTTCGGGGTCGGTTTAGCGGAACCCTAGGTTTCGATATAAAAGGCAGAAACA